GGAAGGTGGGTAAGTTCAAGACAAATCTGTATTTCTGCAACTGTGCTGTTCTCATATCTTAATTGAAAGGGATAGGAAGAAAAAGAAATTAACTACCTCACCTCTACTAAAACTGGGGATACTTATTGGAGAAAGGAGAACAATAATAGCATTTTATTATGCCTTAGAGTTTACCAAATGTACTCACATTCATCCTTTATGATTTTAGAAGCTCTCTGAAATAGAAAATCTTCAGATGATTAAAAAAATTCAAACCTTGTTAAAAGATACTATTAAATCAGGAACTGGAAAATTTGGCATAGAAACTACATATGCTAATAAGGAAAAGCAAAAAAGTAAAGGTATAGAAGAAGCAGATACAAAAAAAAAAAATGAGTGTGGGTCCAGTGCAAGGTTTTAATGTAGGTAGTAAAGTTGACTTATGGATAGTACGAAACCGAGACAATGCAGACTAACAAAAAAGAAGTACATTGTTAAAATAATAAAGAATGAAATAAAATAATAAGGAATGTAAAAATAAAAATGAAGAATGTCATTAAAATAAGTTTTAACCAGACTATATGGAAATAGGTATCAAAGGTAAAAAGCCAGTCATCATATATACATTCACTCATTGCCTCCATTTTCCAAATGCCTTTGCAAATGCTCTTAGCCTATTTGAAACCCCAACATATTTGACGTATGTGTCTTACAGGTATGTGTCATACATCATGCTAGATATTTTGTGGTAGACAATGATTAGATATAGTCCTTTCCTATATAGTATTCTAGTTGGGAAAGTAAATCTATAGTGAAGGTAAATATATAGCAAAAATTCAGAGTAAAACAAGGCAGAACAGGCCAAAAGACTAGCATAAAGAGAGAAAGCTAGCGGGCATCCCCGGTGGCGCAGCGGGTTGAGCACAGTGCTGTGGAGCTGTCCGCAGCCTCTGCAGCATGAGTTCAATTCCTGGCCAGCTGGGGAGATTCCCACATGGCGGCGCAGCAGACCTCTCCTGTCGTGCCCGCTGCTCCCCTCAGCAGTGCTTTCGGTCTGTCTGCCTGTTCTGCTCCCCACTCTGTCTCTGGTGAATCCTCTCACCCTCCTGCGCCTCTAGCCTGTACTCCAGCTATTGTATAAATAAAAAATAAATCTTAAAAAAAAAAAAAAAAAAGAATGAAAGCTACAGCCGTCCAGAGGAAGAAGAGAGGACTATGAAATGACCTGTACAAGAAAGGCTTTGTGAAAATAAGGGGCGTGGGCACCAGGCCCTAGGAATTTGGTGGGAATGGGAGTAGAATTTGAACAGAGTCAAGACAAAGGTATTAGAAACAGAAATATACTGACTGAACAGAGGTATGGGGTTAAGAAGATCAAGGAGCTTTAAGGAGATAGTGAAAATCAAGTAAGGCTGTAATGAGAGGTATATGAAAACACAGGCTACAAAAGGTAAGCTGAGATTGAAATGTGAAAGGCTCTGAATGCCAAATTGAGGAGTTTGAACATTTTCTGAAGCAATTCAAAAATAATCAAAGTTTTTGAACAAAAGTGTGGCAAAGAATACGATATTTTAGAAATATCAGGCTGCTTTTGGTGTGCATAATAAATGGTGCACATCTTGAAAGATATGGTTATGGCATACACGGCACACAGATATAAAACAAAGAGAGACACACTGGAGCAAAATAAACTTAAGAAGAAGAGCTTTAACCCAAGCTTTCTTTGTCAGGAGCAAAAAAAGCATAACATCACATAGAATAGAGAGGAAGTTAGGCAAAGAGTAAGATTCCAAGGTATGAAGAACAATCCTGTTTTTATTTCCTCCATCATCACCATGTTTGCATAAAATTCAGGTTGGCTAGCATAGAGTGGAATAGGTAACTATATTAATGGCGTAACCTGAGAGGCTCACAAAATTACACATAAACAGGGACTTCAGAAAGTTGGAGAAAACACAATTGTACAAAAGGGCTTAAAATGTATTTGGAAAACAGAAGCCACATGACTTGTTAATTGTACTATTAATTGGGGGAAAACAACAACAACAAAAATTACATCAAGGCAGAAATATAAGTGAATTAAAATACATATTTTAAAAATATGTATTTTAACCCAAACTAGAACTATTAGTTCATTTTAATGTAACTATATCATGACATTCAAGTTTAGCCTTTTCTAATTACACACACACACAGCCACCCTATCTATGTTCTCCACTTTTGTTCCTTAAAGATAATTCTCCCTATATTTCCCTAATCCTCTCAAACAATTCCCTAAATCTATCTCCCTCCTTCTGTGCAAACTTCCATCTCACAATCAAATTCATTCTTTAATCTCACTTTTAAACATTAAGTATATGTTATACATATTCTGAGGTTGCCTTTAATAAAAGAACCCTTAGCCTTCACATAAAGCCTTGCAGCTGACAAGCAATTTCACACACCTTATCTCCTAGAACCCTCACAGAAGCAATACACAGCAGGTATTATCATCATCCACATGTCTCAAAGCAGTAGCAAGCCCAAGGCTACACATTCAGAAGGGACAGAAAGGACAGGGCAAGACCTCCGATGCAGACTTCCTAAGTACAAATTCCATATTCTCTTCATTATATTATTCAGTTTCAGAATGTGCCAATAGGTGTATCTTATTACAATTGCTGAGACTTCACCAAATACATGTTTGTCTTGATTTCTGCAATGCAACATGCAACAGCAAAGATAATGTGGGTGATTTAAGGATATGTTAGCATCAAAGGGCAGAAATAGGGCATTCCTACTCCCCTTAACTCTGCTAAGGCCTCAAATACTGATATAGTTCAGAGCATCTTATTACCAGGGAGACATAAATCAAAAGGAGTTCAGCTAGGAGCAATAAAACAGATTAGTGTCTGGAAGGACTGACTTTAAAGAAAGTTTTAAAAGAATTAAATCCAGGTAGTCTAGATAAAAAACAGCTATGAGGAAAGCTTTCTTTCTTTTTTTGAGGCTGACACTCACACCAGAGACAGAGATTATTTTGAAAGTGTATGTCTAAAAACTACAAAGAACAATCATAACTATTTGGACAATATTTATAAAGGGAAAATTCAGGAGACATTTGCCAGCAAAAACCTATGGGACAGAAAGACTGTTTCCCACAGGAGTGGTGAAACTACATTCCTACAGACATTCAATACCAGGTTGGACAAAACAAGAAAGGATTCCTTCCATATGGAAAGATCCTGTACTGGCCCCTGAAGTGGTGGGAAGACTGAAGATGACCTCTTAGATCTTTTCCCTTTCTGGTTTTGTTTTGTTTTGTTTTAATTCAATGAAGTTTTATGGGACACGGACTTCTGCCAATTTTCTTTCCCCCCATGATGCCCACTTACTCTTTTTACAAAGGGAAACAAATTGTAACCTTCATTTTAAGCAGATCTCATGTCCTAATTGAATTGGAAATATAATCCTAGGAACACTTTTGGGGAAAAAAAGGCCAATTCCCAAATTTATAATGACCCTTCCCCAACCTTCCCAGTGATTCCTGGGGTTCTTGCAAGCTTTTCCACAAACTAAAGAGGAAGTAATTCAAATGGATTCAAAGAAGAGATGTTTCATCAGGAAAACCATTAATATCCTCCCGTCTTGTGTCTGAACACAGAGCTGACAGTGACCCTGGGAGCTATAAGGCACTGGGTCAAATTACCATGAGAGCTGCTGTTCAGGACTATCTTTTACCTTTCAGCACTTTATACTGAGTGACAGCAAAATCTACTTCCAAGCCACGTTTTTATGGCAAAAACATTTACCTTTGCAGAGATGTAAACTTAAACACCTATATGCTTTGAAAAATGTTATAAAACAGTAAATACTATTCATGCTTCAAACTCAAGAAGCCTCAGCTTTGACCTCTGTCTCTATTATGGCACTTGAAAAAATGTTTCTCAGCCACCCTTGAAATAGATCCCACCTCTCCAGAATCTCCATTCAGTGAAAGCCCCAAAACTATTGCAGCATTTCCTCCTTTTACTGATTTATAAGGACAAGATGTAACAAAATCCAGGGAGCTTTAAGAACTTGTCCCTGAGCCCTTTACAAATAAAACGTGTAGCTCACTTAGGGGAAGGGACAGCAGAGTGTGGCATCTAATAATGGACACTAATGTCTCTTCTAGCCAATCTAAACAGCTTCAGTGACTGAAGACCCACCAAATCCCATCTTGCCCAGCCGAAAGAAAGAATGTTCCTCACGCCACCTGAAATTTCACAGATATTAACACCACCCTCTAAGCAAAGTTTTCAATACCATTGTTATTTTTTCCTAGTAAAAATTAGTTTGTTCATCCCTAAAGATTGGTCTCTCATACTGGAATAGCATTTGGAGTTTTCATAGTCTTTCCAATGTATAATTTATCTAGTCTGGCAGGAAAGAAGGCTGGCATGTATAATCCCATTAAAGAAATTTTTTTTTTAAATTCAGATTAGGCATTCTGAAGGGGAATCCACTGTGAGATTTTCAAGTCTTCCCTAACAGGGAGCCAATCTAAAAGGGATTACTCTAGAAAACTTTAGAATGGGTTTCCAAAAATGCTGAATACCTCCATAACCTCATTTCAGAAAAGCAAGAAACAAGAGAAACAAAAAAGGCACTTTTTAAAAGAATGATATGTGACCCCGACCCTTTAATAGCTTGTGAACCTGGCTCAGTTTTCTCAGGAAACCCACTGCACCTTCTCCCCACAAGTCTATCCTGCGGGAGTTTTGGTTAACAATTCTAGGCCTGGAAGACTCGCCCCAGCAAAAGGCCAGCAGCGGGAGCCGCACACCCTGGCGAACCCCCGTGCGTAATCACGTCAGGAGTCGCACCCCGGCGGTCCCCTCGCCCTCTGTCACCAGCTTTTCAGGGGCGTTTCAACCAGGCTTTCCTCCAAAAAGGGGGTGTTTCCCAACCCAACCCCCCTCCCCCACACACAGAGCAAGTGATCGCTCCCGCTTCCCAAAACCCCCCAACCCCGAAAGAACGGGAAGCAAGTTTCTCACCATCCTCATAGTTCTTGAGATAGTAATCCGGGCCGGGGCCCCCGCGGCTTTTCGCCGGGTTCCTCAGATTCTGGAACTGCAAGAAGTCGGTCCTTTTGCCCCCGAAGCGCAGAAAGGCGGGCGACAGTCCCCGGGCCAGGGTCACCAGACGCTTGGAGCTGCAGGGGTACCGAAAGTGAGCGCGGGGTGGCTGGGGGTGCGGCGGCAGGGCGCGGGGTGCCGAGCCAGGCCCTCTCCCGCCTCGGCGCGAGCCAGGCGGCGGGGCGCGGGGCTCAGTCCCCCAACCGCGGCGCCTCCGCGCGCCCCAGCCCGCCCGCCCTCGGCTCCCGCTCCCCGGGCTACGCCTCCTGCGCCCCGCCGGCCGCGGCCCCCGCCCGCAGGCCCCCCGGAGCTGCTCGCCCCAGTTACTTATTTCCGAAGACTATTGACTGCGAGTGCGGGGTGCGGGCGGCGCTCGGGCGGACAGCCCCGGGCGGAGGCGCGGCCGCCGGCTTCCCCGCCGCGGGGACTCGCTCCAGGCGCGCGGCGCGCGGACCGCGGGGCTCCGACTTCTGCCAAATTTGCGGCTGAGAGCCGGGCCCTGCTCCTGCGCCCCGGGGGCACCGAAGCCGCTCGGCCTTCCTTCTCGCCCGCCAGGTCTGAGGCCCGAGGTCAGGGCGATGCCGCCTTCTCAAGTGCCCGATAGACTTTCCACCACCTCTGCACAGCCGCGCCCACCTCCCCAGCCCCGGGCGGGAGCGTCCAGGCGGACTCCTGGTCTGTCCCGGAGCACTCCTCGCCCGCGCCGCGCACAGTCAGCGCTGTGCCTCTCTGGGCCCTGAAAGAAGTGAGGCTGATCCCCGGAAAGGTGACATCCTCTCTCCACCCCCCGAGTCGGGCTCCATTTTTTTTTCTTTCCACTTGGGGCCGTTGGAAGCGCTGAGGAAAGTGAAGTTTGCGAAACGCGCGCGTTGGAGTGAACTCCAAGGCCACCGGAACACACATGTACATCTCTTTAAGTTCAGGATTTCCACAAACAGGTTTTTTAAAAGTCAAACGCTGCTGCCCCTTCGGAAAAAGGCCGAGAAGGGGCAATGCAGGTGCTCTCAATACTAAGGGCGCGCAGTGCGAAGCTGTTGCGTTCTGAGTCTTATTTTTAACACTTTGCTGAGTTCAGGTCCTGAAAATCCAAATTCAAATGAAGACGCTAAAGAAAGGAAATGGGTACAAAATGGGAAAAGAAAAAAAAAAAAGGAGACCCTGCTTTCCGAGAGTTTCTGAGAAGAGTCGTGGCCACCCGGGGAAATCCGGAGGCCTGAAGGGTCGTTTGGCTGAAGACTCGGGGACCGCGCTCCGAGGTGGCAGCTGGGGCGCAGCGTGGGCCCCGCAGCTGGCAGAGGAGACGGGGTGCGTGTCTGGTCCCGCGGAAACGGGATTTCCAAAAAACCATCCATCCGGAAGCCTGCACAGCCAATGCAAATGCGCCCCGCCAAGGCTCCTTCCCCCTGAAAAACCGCCTTCCAGAATCTCTTCTGCAGCAAGCGTTCAGGGCTCACCAAATGATTTTTAAAGAAAAAGAAAGGAAACCTGGAGGAGTCCGTGCAGCCGGACAAGTGCAATGCAAATGGAGCGCGTGCTTTGGAAAACTCCCGTTCCACCCCCACCCCCCACTTTCGGAGGAGCGCTGAGCCGAGCTCCGCTGCCCCGAGGAGCTTCCGAGGAGGAAGCCGGGCGGCGCGGGGCTGCTCCCTCCCTCCCCGCGGACGCCCCGGCAGGAACCGAAACGGCCTCGGCGCCAGCAGACGCCCCTGAACCCGCCCGCAACGCTCGCTCCACGTGGAAGGAGCGCTCCACGTGGCGCCTCCCTCTACCTGCCGCGTCCGCCGACCGGTCCAGGGCCGGGGGAACCCCGAGAGCTGCCGGGCGGGCGCACCCCCGAGAAGGCAACCCGAAATTTGCATGGAGCAGTAGATACTCACGAAAGACTCAGGGCGGACGCGGCCTGGGGGCACACAAGTGGGACCCAGGGCGCTCTGGACTCTTCGGGGAACCCGGCAGCTGAGGTTCTCCAACGTGGTGGGAATTTTTAAAAACTAAAATTTTGCATTCGACATTGCAGACGGTTTATTTTTTTCTTTTACACTGTCAATCTGTCGCTGATGGGAAGGGATCGAAGTTGCCTAATTGCTAAATAGTAACATCCTGGGGAGAGGGGTCGCCCAATTGGATTCCAACCCCCGGAGTAAGGGGAAGTCTGATCACAAGCCTCCGGGTTTGCTGATCCCCGGGTGCCGAGTTCACACGGCCGAAACACCCCCCTCGAGTATTTCTAGGACCCTTTCCGCTCTCCTTATATGTGCTATGACCGGAGCGAGGATTTTTTTTTTTTTTCTTTAAAGAAAAACTATGCAGTTACCGCAGTACTTTTAGGAGGAGGGACTGGGGTGGGGGTTGGGGGGGCATTCTGTCTATAAAAAAAAAAAAAAAAGTCTTCAAAGTCCTAAAGTTTGGAGATGACAGTAGAGAATATAAAATAATTTTTTTAATCCGATCCAATTTGCCCAGCGCTCAAGCCTCTGCTTCACTCGGTATTCTGTTCGGGAGTGGGAGAGAACTGACGAAAGGATCTTTGCGTGGAAAATTCCACTTTCGTGCGATCCCTACTTGAACACACAACACAGACACACACGCACATACACACACACGCACGCACACCCATTTCTCTTGGGGTCTTTGTGGCTGGAGACCTTTTCTTGGCTTTTGTATCTGCCCTGAACCTCTTGTTTCTGTTTTCAGAAGGAGTTGGGGAGGCTAATTGTGGATATATGTAAGCACAACATTTTTTCAGTCATAACTGATAAGTTTCTGAAATGCCTTCTGCATTGCAAACATGTGCATCTTAATAGAAAACATTGCTTTTCTCAATCACCAGTTACAGCCTCACTGCAAATATTCCAGGAGGAGGAAAACCCCCTTTCTTCTCTTTGAGAGATCCGCTTGGCTTATTTTCTTCTTCATCCCCCTTTGGAATGGGGGATAGAAAAGGGTGGGGGTTGTTACTTTAAAAAAAAAAAAAAAATGATCCATCGAAGCCCCTGCCTTACCTTAAGAAATCGAGCCAGCCATCATGAATGATGGAGGGATCCAGCTGCAGAGAGAGGAAGTTCTCATTGACTGTCCTGACTGGGTTCTTGGTGCTCACATCAAGTAGAATCAGGGTCTTTTCCTTCAAACCTGGAGCTCTGTCTACAGGCAAGGATCTCCTGTCTCCAGCTTGGGAGGACAGAGAGAGATGGAGCAACAGAGCCAAGGAGAGAGCCACCGGGGCTAGGCACGCGGGGGGGCAGGAGTTGCTGGAGGGCATGGCTTCAGGGAAGGCACTGAGCACCCTCATTAAATCCCTCTGATTTAAACCTCTGCTCCTACAGGGTCTTGCTGGTGACTAATTGTCCTTATCTAAAGTGTGTGTCTGTCTGCCTCTGGCCCCCCCTTTTCTCCCCTTCCTTTCCCCCCCTCTCTCGCTCTCTCTCTCTCTCTCTCTCTCTCTCTCTCTTTCTTTCTCTCTCTCTTTTTTTTCCAGTGTTTTGGTGCTGGTGGAGCGAACTCACGCCCCTAGCCAGCCTTCTCGGCGGCCCGTGCCAAGAGTGCTCGTTCACCAGCACCGCCCCTTTAAGAGATTTCGACTGCAGACATTTTTTAACTTTTTAAAGGTAAGGGGGGGGGGGAGGCGGGAAGTAGGAGGAAGGGGTGGCGTAGTACCCTCCTGATTTAACCCTCTAGGGTCAGGAAGCGGAGGGAGGGATGGAAATAGTCCTGCCGGGCGCTCGGGTAAGGGCGGGACGTCTTGGTTTTACGAGGCCCTGCGAGGCCCTGGGGAGGGCGGTTCTAGCTCCGATCCAGACCCCAGCGCCCCAGCGCCAGCCCTGGGCGCGTTGGGTAGAGTCCGCACCGGCCGCGCGCCTCTTTATTTTGACAGTGTCAGGCATAAAGTCGGCTTAGTGTCCTTCCCTTTGGGTGGGGGCTGAAAGAGCAGGAATGGCTGAGTTGCAAAGAGTCCTGCGGGCGACGGCGGTGCCTGCCAAATCGCGGAGGAAGGCGGGAGACTCCTTGGATAGATGCAGGTCGGGACCTCTGCAACGCACTGGGTAGCCGCACAGAAGCGTCCTCTGACCTCGATAGGGCAAAGGGAGGCCAGAGGAATACCCGGAGTGACCAGGTCAAAGGGCTTTTCCGCCGGTAGGGGCAAAAGAGACCAGTCTGCTGCGCCGTGACTCTGCTCTGCCTGCAGCCACCGGGCTTCACTAGGCACTGACCTGGCCAAGTCAAAGCAACCTGGTCTGTGCTTGGATGGTCTGGGCTGCGCTGCACACTTTTGAGGAACTTCTTGACCGCCCTACAGCACTAGCAGAGCCGCTCCTCCAGCCCGCCTCAGGTCAACCCAGAGGAACTGAGTGACACCATAGGGTTTTCAAACTGGCCTCCAAGTCACAGCCATCTGCCAGCACACAGCTCCTGACTGGAGAGAACAGCTGTGCGCACAATACACCCTAGCTCATCCAGCTCCCACCCAAAGCACCTCTCATATTGAGTTAAAAGCATAGAAAAGAGGTCAGGCATAGTTTCCTGCAGTCACACCTTCAGGCCACACTTTTGGTCTCTTTCTGAAACAAAATGGGCCTTCGACTTGGCAAATGAACCACTTTATGCAGTGTGGGAACACATGAGCATCCCTGGGTCTCCTCATCAAATAGGCAAAACTCTAAAATGCAGAGCAAAGATTTTCCCCAAGAGTGGAGGACAAGGTGCAGTCTCCACCCAACAAACGCTAGAAAGGCAGCTTGTCTCCCCTCCCCCCAGATAGGACTAAGAAATCTGGAAAAGGCAGGAGTAGATGGGCTTCGGCTGACATTCCCTAAGGAACTTCTACAAAACTAAGCAACCAAGAAATCCAGAAGTTAGGTGGGATTAGATTGGAAAAAACTATGAAAACCTCCTAGAAGTAAGATTGCATTCTACATACATAGAATGAGGCCAAAGGAGAACAGAATTTCAAGACCTATCATTTAAAAATGATTTTTAGGGCCTCCCTGGTGGCGCAAGGGTTAAGACACAACCTATGAAGCTATCCACAGCCACAGCAGCACTACTTCTATTCCTGGCCAGCCAGGGAGCAACTCACATGGCCAGCAGACCTCTCCTGACTTGCCCGCTGCTCCCCTTAGCAGTGTATTTCAGTCAGTCGGCCTGTTCTGCTTCCCACTCTGTCTTTGGTGAATCCTCTCTCTTTCACACACACACACACACCCCGCACATCTCTGGCCTGTACCCCAGCTCTTGTATGCATAAATAAATAAATAAATATGAGTTTTAAAACCAAGATATTATATACTAAAGTGACCAAAGTAGGCTCTGGATCTAAGGCTTGCTTTCTTCAGTTCCTGAAAATTTCTAACACACCTATTTCCTTTAAAATATGTGTGTTTCCATGTGTGGATGTATGATGTGGTATACGTTCCAGTTGTAGTTACACTAATTTATAAATGGATGCTGAGCACCTCCTAGAGATGGTGACAGCCTAGTGAGCAAATATTTTCATCTTTGCATGTCCAGACCTGGGTACTGAAAGGTTCGGCGCGGTAAAGAAAAGGAGAGCCAGGCTATATTTCTCAAAGGGAGGGAAAGTTTATTGCGCCCCGGGTGGACCTCACAGACCCAAGGCGGGGGTCAGTGGAGTCGCGCTCATTGTTAGGGGGAAGCAGGATTTTATAGGGTGAGGAGAGGTCAGGTGGGTAGTTGGCCTCGTATGCGGGAAAAGTTTGTAGGGCAGGTAGAGGTTCTTTGTTTGAGAAGAGACTCGTGGGGGGAGGGGGGAGGCTCATTGTCTGAGTCCTCCAGGCAGGTATCCGCATTCCTGGCCCCCAGGTGGGCTTCCTGGTTGGCTCCTGCATTCAGGCCTCCTGCATGGACCTTTCAAGTACTTAATAGGAACTCAATAAATGCCTGGGAAATAAATTATTGGTAAATCAAATCACGTTTCCTCAGTAAAATCATATACTGCTCTCGAGAAAAATGTGCAAAAATACTTTTGTCACAACAAACTTTGTTTTAGTTTTCTGTTCAGTAATTGTCTTTCCAGTTATTAGCATTTTCTAATCCTCTCCAGGAAATGCTTTTCTTGCAAATTCAGAAGCCACTAGTACATTAGCTGTAGTCAAAACTAAAAACCAGTTATCTTTTTTTAGCAAAGAGCCAGATTTTCCAAGGGCCTTAACATCCCTTACAGGTGAATGTACTTTTAGAAACACATGAATTGGGAAAAGTGGAAGATGACTCTAATGAAATCAATCACTTACCCACTAGATTATCTATAATTAATGTATCTTTCAAAATCACCTACTCTTGTGACTAAGGATAAATATAGGTAAAATGAGAATTTGCTTAATTATTAATTTTATCTGTAATTTTTGCTTACTGACCCAGCTATTTTGTATTGTTTGGTGGCCTAGTTACTTTAATATGTCTTCATCAGAACCTGTATAAATCAAAACCAACACAACAAAATGTGTTTTCCTTATTTTGTGTTGTAAACCTTGTCTAGTTTACTCACTGAAGTTCAAAGTCAAGTCCAGCCTCAGGACATCAGACAAGAAAACAATAACCTTTGAAGAGTTCCAAATCATCCTGGTTGACTCAGATTACCCAACTGTTTGGTCTTTTGCTCTCCTTTGGGAATAGAGCTTTCCAAATAGCTCCCCCACCCAGTATCATTTTCTTTTTAATCTTGTCTCATTAAGACTAAATTATGTAAGTAGCTCATTATTAATCTGTATATTAAGATGATGTGTCAATCCTAGCTTCTGTGTGCTGTGTGACAACAATTTGCATTTCTGTTCTTAGATTTTAATTTCTGAGGGGACAAGAATTGGGATCTGTATAAAATATGAATTATTGGGAACTAGATGCATTGAAATTTCATTGCAAATGCTCTGCCCAGTATTACTAAATGATCCTTACAAAGAAATTTGTCTGATGTCTAGGAATCTAGGTTCCCAAACCTGTAAGAAATATTGAAGTTAACTGGTTCAATGATTTCTAGACTATAGGAATTTGAAACAATTATTAGTTAATGGGGAAGAGCTGACATTTACTTACCAACTTTTTTTTTTTTAGTGTTGCAAAGTGGTTTCACAGTTTTTTTTTTCCCTTTTTCATTTTTTTATTTTAACATTTATCATTTTTTACATTATTTAGACAATATTTGCTTCCTCCACCCCTGCACATTGAGTCCCCATAGAATACTTACCAACTTTTTATTTCATCTAGTAAAGACCTTTAAAAAGTCTATGAACTATCACTTCCCTAAAGAAAAGAACATCTTAACAACCAAAAAAAAAGTTGCAATGACATGTCAAAATAAAGAGCCAAAGAGCCAGCTTCATGAAAAGTCACTATAATATTTTAGTCATTTCAACTCACACCTGTGGAAATATACCAGTAACCAACATGGCTACGAGGATTGGTGACTGGGACTAATAACATACCTCGTGTTTTTATGGCCCAATTCTACTTTGTAGCACACAATGTTACCGCAAAGTGTGCATGTTTTATAATGCTGGTCACCTTGACACCAATCATTTCTTTCTACTTTTCCTATGTTTTCTCTCTCACGTTGAGACTTTCCCAAACTCATTGGCTCTACATGCCACCTCCCCTTCCTTCTATTAAAAATCAAAGCCATGCTTATTTCTTTGCCCATTTCCCTCTTCTGAGAGAACTATACCTAGATGTCTAATAGCAAGAAAAAAATTATTTTCACCATAACTGTGATGAGGTAACATGAAGCTATGCACTATAAGCATAAAGCTAGACACGCTAAGCACAAAGCACCAAGTCCCGTGTCATTGCTGCTTGGGTGTCATGACGACCATTGGTAGCGATCTTATGGTCCAGGCATGGTGCTTAGGGTTAAATATGTTATTAATATTTTCAATAGCTCTGACATATACATATACTTCATTATCATACCTAAGAAATTGCAAGAAGAATTTGAGGAATTTTAATGAGGAATTTGAGACAGAGATATTAAGCTACTTTCTTGTGGTACACAGCTAATAAGTGGCAACACAGGATTGACACCCAGGTTGTCTAAATCCAAAGCCTATGTCTGTTCTTAACCACCACATTCTAGAGTAGGTGCTCTAACAATTTGTTAAGGTATAATGGGATAAATCTTGAACTAAGAGTTGGAAAACCTGAATTTAATGTTTTGAATCTGACTTTGCTAGAGCTTACCTTTGTCACTTTGGATACATTTTTTAGCTGTTCTAAGCCTCAGCTGCCTACTCTGTAAAATTAATACAATATCGTAGGATAGAGTAAAAATCTGAAGAAGATTATGTATTGAGAAAGTGTTATCTACATTCAAATATGCAATTTTGCTAGTTGTCTCCTATTCATTCTTGTTCCA